CTGTCAGCAGATTTAAACAGAACATTGTGACAAATTAGTATTACCTACTTTAAGCTTGTATTTTACCAGCTTATAATCTAGTAATAGAAATCGAATAAGTATCATTTTGTAATTATTTACAAAGAATTATCATCTTAAAGTTACAAAATTTTGCTTAATTCCTATAAATATATCATCTGTTAGCAGAGTTTTGCTGACAATTTGTGGATTAAATTGCAACAATTAAATCAGATTTTTTTGACACATTAGATTGTGTTTGGATAAAGATATCCGTGTAATACAGTATACAAAATTTTTCATATATATGGATAAAAAATGAAGTTGTAAACCTTACGTTGAATATTCTTGCGCCAATAACATTCTACTGATTGTAGGTACATTTTGCTTCGCAAGAAGTTTATTGAATGTCCTGAAAACACATAGATGTTTACGAATCTATACAACTGTCAGTAGAAATAAACATATATAGCAGAAAAATTTATATTTATTCAACGAAAAGTGTGTGAATTACTTACTGCGTATATTGCTCGTTTGTCAATGTTCTGTACAATGCTGGCCGGCTCGTATGGAACGATCTAAAAACTTTATCCATTGCTGTTTCTAAACTGTCTTTTTCTCCTGTCTTTCTCCCCCCTCAAATTATCAAAGTTCTCTCTTCCTTTCATCGACGCATGTGCACATGCGTCTCAGCGCATGCGCGTTTTCTCGTGTTTTTTTACACTCTCTCTTTCTCTTTCTGAAATTAAAGCATTTTTTGTTTTGAAAACTGAAGAGATATCGTCAATCAGATATATTGCAATTACAAAACTTTTATATGGACTGCTCACTCTGCTAATTTTGCATGTTATAGAAAGAACCAGTAGCGCACCCAGTCGATTTTGCCAATTTCGTTTTACTATATGATTCTTATACTCATGATTATTTTGTTCTTATTCACTGAATGTTGAACAAGGATAAGATGATGTGCAAAATGAACAATACACTATACAAGTGGAATGTATTATATGAGATACGCGAATGTAAATAGGGTGTCTCATCTAATTTGTACAATTCTCTTTACAAAGTAAAAGCCATTCTGATAAATATAAATGTTTAGTAATACATCCAATTAAATATCACAATGAATCTTACACATAAGTATAAAATGATAAAATGTGCAGAGATTTAGTACAAATTAAACATTATTTTACAAATTTGGAACAATTTTGATTCATTTTGAATAAATTTAAATTGTAATCAATAATCTCAAAGGAGGTGTTGATCGTCTTTCTCGCTTTTGCCAAATATTAAACATATACCTATTTCGCTTTAAGTTCCAAAAGCGTAACTAGAGAATCGATTCTGTATTTTGAAACGAGGTGAAAATTACAAAAGTGAGCGAATTTACTAGAATACTATTTTAATTTAATTGGTCAACACCTAGTAAATTTGTTCACTTTTGTAATTTTCATCTTGTTTGAAGATACAGAATCGACCCTCAGTTCTGGTATAGAAAACAGATTTTACTTATATGTGACGCAACAAGAAAGGATGAGGATAAGCCAGAATTTCAGGTGAATTTTTTTTATTTTTCTAAACTTATATTATTTCATTAAAGTTTAATGTAGTTAAAATATAAAAAATATTAGGTATTCCAAATCTTTATTAACATCTTATTTATTTTCAAATGTATCAGTTGAGAAATAGATTATATCTTCTAAATATCCGACAGTTTAAAAATAGTCCAACAAATTAAAGACAATTCAGATTTCAGATTTTAGTAATTATGGACAATATTTAATGTAGCCACCATATAATCTTATTATTAAATCTATTTTCTCACACTCATAATATATTTGTAAAGCATTGTACCATTTCTGAAATATAAATCATAAACAAAATAAAAAGATTATTATATACATAATTAATAATTAACTTTTAAACTCTATATAATAGATTTATAACAAATATTTAATTCTACTGTTTTTCATTCTTATTGTTTATTTTCATTTTTTGTACACATAATTAGTTCTTTTATACACATAATTAGTTCTTTTTGTAATATATTTAGAGTTTAAAAGGTAAATTATTGTATAAATATTAATTTAATACAAACAATTAACATGTTTTTTATCACTCGTTTGTCACATTTAATATTATATTATACAATTATAATTATATTGAATAAAAATAAAATCTTTGAAAAAAAAAATTAAAGTAATAACATAAAATAATATGATATTATGTTTAATTGCTTTTCAATATTAAATAACATATCGAGGTGGGTTTATAAAATGGAGATCATTATATACTACAGAATCATCTCTACGAATACCTCCAAAAACTATTAATTCTCCCCTTCCCACTACAAGAGAATATAGAATTCTCTCATCGGGTCCCGAACGATCATTTTGTTTTAAGGGAATCCACAAAGCATTGCAGTCGTCCGAAAGAACATTAGTAATATCTAATACAAATATCGATAATGTGTTCTCAGCTTTTTTGGATACTTTCATCAGCTGTGTCTTCTTATTACGAATTTTCTCCTCCATTCTTCTTAACGATTCCAACTGACGTTGTCTATTCGAGATTGCGTTACTACGAAGAGGTTGATCGCGAAATGCGGCCATGCTTAGGGTATTATCACCATAAAACGGTATCGTTTTTGAGATATTAGATGTATGCGATGAAGGATGTGCATTTTGCGAATGTGATCTAGAGAATGCTCCATGCCGTCCATTTATATTTTCATCTTTATCTACAGATACGTTGCCTTGCCTAAAAAATTCAATTAATAATAATAGCAAAGTGGTTACAATTGTTTGTCAGTGTAACTTTTTACAATGCAATATTATAATTACATCAGACCTTTCGGTCAAAAGATTTGATTCACATAAACGTGGTGAAGTACTCCTTTGAACCTTTCTCAATGAGATACTCATATCATTTGGCTTTGTTTGACGTCTATTTTTACTAAGTACAATGATATAATTTCCCACCTATGTGCAAATAACAAAATTTTATATATATTAAGATCTAGCAATATATAGACCAATTATATTCAATGGAATAGCATTTCAGTAGAATTAAGTTAGATACCTTACAAGCCTGATGACACCAAATACGCGTTGGTGCCCATTCAGTATTGTGCATATTGATTTTCTTCCATGTCCAAGACTCACCTTCCATCGTTAATAGCCAAGCATCATTCATAGCAGCATTTGGTCCTGTACAACCTCCTGTAGATTTTGAAATTTTCACATAATTATCTAATGATGTTTAATTGTTTGGACAGTAATAAATGGAAATTTCAATATGTTTCTCATATAAAAAAAAATAAACAAGATTAATACTTGTTTTAATACCGAAACAATCTTAGGAGTGAATAATAACATCAAGCACAAGTAGATATTTCTCTTACCAAGTACAAGTAAATGTTTCTCTCCAAGTTTAATTTGCGACTGGCCATAACGTGGCTGCGGCTTCAAATTTGATGTATTTTGTTTATGCCAGGTATATGAATCCAAATTTAAGCACCATACATCATTAGAACTACTTTAAAATAATACAAGCAATGTTATGCATAAAAAATATATAGTATATATTTTACTTTCATACATTCATATGTTTTACAAGAATATACCTGTAGTATCCATTACAAACTCCACCGAAAACAACCATTAAATTCCTATGTATTGTTGCAGAATGTGCAGATGTTGGTGGTGGAGTTTCTAATGTGTTTATAGCAGTCCATTTATTTGATTTTATACAGTATACATGTAATTCATTAAACAATTTCCACTGCTGGAAATATATTATCTTTAATATATTTCAATATTTTTAAAAATAATATTATAAATTATATGTAAAATATTAATAATGCAAGCTGTAAAAAATAAGTGTATAACAAAATGTGTTAAACAGTAAAATTATAGTTTTTTTTATGTACCTCCCAATACATGATTT